CTCCTCAAAAAAAAAAAAAAAAAAAAAAAAAAGAAAACTGCATTGATTTCAAAGTTTTTCCAGAAAATGAACTCATACTTTGATTCCACTTTTTCACAATCTTTTTGAAGTCCCCACAAATTGTCATTTTTTTTAAGTGCATTATTTTGCTCATCTGTCCTTTGTTTTTAAATTTGTTATAGGGTACATATGCTTGCTGGAGATGGAGAAAGGGAAAGTGAGAAATCAACCCCTGGGGGGATGGCCATGCTGCAATCCCTTCTCCTCCATTCACCTCTCGGGATCTTGGGTATGCACACACACATGCCCGGCGTGAGTGTAAGCCACTGGGTCTGGGACTTGAACCACAGTTGACTACATGGCAGTCCAGCAATGTAGCCATTATGCCAACTGCTGGTCACTGTTCTAAGGGTTTTAAAGAACCCAACTCAGGGCTGGATGTTGACAGGGCAGTAAAGCATGAAAATGCTTAAGACATGCCCACATGGGAGAGTTGCTGGTCTGCGGTGAAATCTCCCTGACAATGCCAGGCATGCATGTGGACGAGATCCAGGCTGACATGGGGGTGGATCATGATGCCAAAACCCTGGCCAAGATGCTGTCTTTCTGTCTCTCACTCATGAAATAAATAACTTAAAAGAAAAAAAAGACAAGAACTGCAACTGTCACCCTGCCTCAAATAAGGTAAGAACTCATTACAAGTCCTCTTTTTCCTCCCTTTTTTTTTTTTGAAAAATTTTTTGCTATAGGGCACATGTACTCACCAGAGAGACAGAAAGCTAGAAAGTGAGAAATCGCACCCTGGGGCAATGGCTACACCACAGTCCCTTCTTCACTTTCTCCTGGGGATCTTGGACATACACACACGTGCCCAATATGAGTTTTTTTTCCTTTTTTTTTTTTTTTTTTTTGAGAGGTTTTGCTGTGTGCTCACCAGAAAGACAGAAAGAGACAGAGGACAGAATGTGAGAAATCACCCCTGGGGTGATGGCCATGCCACAGTCCCTTCTCCGTTCTCTTCTCAGAATCTTGGGCACACATGCATGCGCCTGGTGTGAGTTTAAGCTACCGGCTCCAAGACTTGAACCGTAGTTGACTACATGGGAGTCCAGCTACATAGCCTTTATGCCAATTGCTGGTCCCCCCCAGCATAATTTTTAAGCCACTGGGTCCAGGACTCAAACCGTGGTCAACTACGTAGGAGTCTAGCGGCATAACCATTACTCCATTTCCTTTTTTTTTCTTTAATGGAGAAAGATGTCCCATTAAAGTTTGGGCAGAATGTATTCCTGACACCCAGGGGTAGCGGGGTAGCTAACTTTCCCTGTGCAGGGCTGGACAGGCACTGCAAGCGTACAGTCTCCACTGGACCACACAGCTCTGGGGTGGCATAGGAAGAGTCACCACAGACAGTCGAAGTTAGTGATGCAGCTATGTTCCAATAAAGTTGTTCACAAAACACAGAGTACTGGGACCAGCAGGTGGCATGGTGGACACTCCCACATGGCTGACCACGATTTGATTCCCAGACCTGACAGCTTCCTTTCTCACTTTCCCTCTCTCTCTCTCTCTCTCTCTCTCTCTAGTCATATTAACATAAATTTAAAAAAAAATTTTTTTCTTTTTTTGGAGAGGTTTTTGCTATAGGGCGCGTGCACTCGCCAGACAGACAGAGACAGAGAGACAGAAAGCGAGAAATCACCCCCCAGGGGGTATGGCCACGCCGCAGTCCCTTCTCCATTCTCCTCTCGGGATCTTGGGCATGCACGCACACGCGCCCGGCGTGAGTTTAAGCCACCGGGTCCGGGACTCGAACCGCGGTCCACTACGTGGGAGTCCAGCGACATAGCGGTTATGCTAACTGTTGGTCCCAATTTAAAAATTTTTAAGAACATGGGGAATACTGAAATCTAGTTGGCCTATCCCTGCTCTAGACCAGTCATGGCCAAGGCCTCCGGTTCTGAGCTCACAGCGTGCACCTGTGGCTCCAGTTAACTGAGAGATGGAGGGAGGATCAGGACATGGCGTGCCCTGCCAGAAACCTGGCTCTCAAAACACACACAAAAACAAAAACAAAAAACCTCTCTTTCCATCCCTTTTCTATGTGCTTGCTCTCATTTGGAACAGAAAGTAAAATAAAATACTGCAGATGGGTGGCCTGTGTCTTTGTCTAAGGCTAGCCTGACCAAAAAAGAAAAAGGAAAATGCCCATCTCCGTTCAGCTTCCAGTCTCAGTCAAGTCCATTCCACGATATGTCACAGGTAGCGGCCTGGGGTAGGCATGGAGTGTCACCAGCCTGTCTGTATCCGATGCAGTGAGGGCCGGGCCGGGGTGAGGGGAGCAGGCAACCACACTGCCCTCCCACATTCGGTCTCAGATCCCAGACCTGGGGAGAAACGGGGGAGGCACAGGTTGGCCACAGGCCATGCTGTGATCTCCCTCTGAGCAGGACCAAGACTGGCGTATCAGGGAGGGAGGAAAGCACAGCTGTCCAGGGCCGGCCCGGGGCGCCGATTCGTCAGCACCCACAATGACAGACCTGTTCTACAAACTCTCCGCTAGCAAGACACGCCGGCAGGCCGTCTTAGCCCTCAGATGAGGGGTTTGGGACCCTGAGAGTTCCCTGGTCCTCCTCTGCTAAGGTCTTCAAAGCCCAGAAAGGAAAGCCACGTGTGTGTGGTGCACTTACGCAGGGGCCTGATCACAGAGGTCAAAAATACTCACCAACTTCTGTCCCACGATATTGTAGTGACTGAAGGACTGGATGAGGGCCACAAAGCAGACTTTGCAATTAGCTAGGAAAGGAAACAAAATGAGTTTTAATAAATCCATGGCTCATAGCCAATTTCATAGACTGTATACCTCCTGAAGCCAAAGTACTGTGGCAGACCTAGAGACCCAGAGGCCTTGCAACCTGATACATCCAGTTCGACTCTAAGCTGTACCTTCCCTCGTATCTAACAGGCAGGCCTCATCGCAGTCGTTCTGAGATACGTTTCTGTCACATGTGCTGCTGTACAACTAATTTTCTCCTACGTAAAAAGATTTGTGTATTTTTCACTTTTTGTCTGCTTATCATTAGTATGTGCAGGAAAATAACTGATTATTTTAAAACTTACTTTATATGCAGCAGGAAATAAGAGAAGGGCAAAGAAGCCCAGCTACCTGACTAATTCTAAAATGTCTGTAGGTGCTCTTGCTCTATGCTATTAAAAAAAAAAAAAAGCTATTTTATTTATTCATTCATTTATTTTCATTTGACCAGAGAGAGGCAGAGAGGGAGAGAAAAAGTGAGAAAGCAAGCCACCAGGTCTGGGACTCGAACCGTGGTTGGCCATATGGTAGTGTCCAGGGCCTTAACCATCATGCCACCTGCTGGTCCGTCTATGCTGATAACTGTATCATCTGAAAAACAAAGGCTCTTCCAGTGCAGTAAATTATTATGCGTATGACAGCCAAAGATCCATTGTGTATCCTGGTCTGGGAGTGGCCCTGTCCTTTTTTTTTTTTTTTTTTTAAGGTTTTTGCCATAGGGTGTGTGTGCTCACCAGAGAGACAGTTACAGAAAGAGGGAAAGTGAAAAACCACTCCCCAGGGGGATGGCCACGCTGCAGTCTCTTCTCCACTCTCCTCCTGGGATTTTAGGCAGCCCTGCACATGCACTTGGCACAGGTCCCACACTGCCAGATCCAGGACTCAAACCACGGTCAGCCTTGTGGGAATCCAGCACTTTAACCAGTACACCACCTGCTGGCCCCCAGTGGGCCTATTCATTAAGAAGTATGCCTACTTAAAAAAATAAGAAGCATGGCTACTTAATGGGAACAGGATGGTCAGGAGCCTGTTACCTATGTAAAATGGGCCCCCCGTTACCCAAATACCAAAGATCTGGCTAGTACAGGCTCTGCCGATTGCTTCCTGAAACAGTTTCTGTTCGTTGTTTTTTTTTTCCTTTTCCTTTCAGTTTGTTTTCAACAGCATCGAGTCCTGTACCTTTGAGGTAGAAGGAGAGAAAGTGGTGCACAAGAAAGCTCCCATCCGTCTCGGCAGCACAGAGGAGGGTCAGTTTCCCCTGAAAGTTAAAAAGGACACAGAAAGGCAAATCAGAATCCCTGGTAAGATGTCCGCTCCGTGTAGAAATCCAGTCGACTGTGTCTACCCCAAAATTTCTACACCTAGATAGATGTTTCAAATATATGCCAAGTTCACCCCCCCTTATTAAAGAAACCAGTCAAAATGATGGAAAAATGAATGATTATTAGTATTAAGCAACATGATAAACAAGCATATCCCAGCCTCTACTTTCTCAGGGCAAAACTGAACAAAACTATTTCTCTTCTTCACTCCTGATCTTAGTTAACTTAGTTAACTTGGAGGGAATTAGATTCTGAACAAAGGATGCTTTTACCAACAGACTCCAACAACAAGATAAACAGACTGCCTAACTGAACATCTTCCAGAAGGTCTCCTGACCTAACTTTCTATTTCTTTTTTTGAGAGATTTTAGCTATAGGGTGTGTACAACTGATAGAGAGATAGAAAGGGAGAAATCACACACACACCCCCAGGGGGGATGGCCACGCCGCAATCCCTTCTCTTCCATTCTCCGCTCAGGATTTTGGGCTTGCACACACACACACACCTAGTGTGAATTTCAAGCTGCCAGGTCGGGGTCTTGAACAGCAGTTGACTACGTGGGAGTCCAGTGGTGTAACCGTTACGCCATTCACTGGTCCCCTAACTTCCTATTTCTAATTCTGATGCTATTTCTGTCCTGTGGGGTAGGAGGGCAGGAGGGAGAAGCAGTTGTTGACAAGAGACCTCCAATACCAACGTTCTCCCAACGGCCCTGGACACTGCTTCAGACAGAGCTTTGATTGTGGGGACTGCCCTGGGAAGACTCCGGGTGGTCTCTGCAGAGCCTGCCTACCCTGCTCCTGCCACCTCTACTTATCTGTCAGCACAGGGAAGGTCGGGATCAAGTGGTACCATACATGCCACCTGTGCTGTGTGACTTTAGGCAAGTGCCTACCTCTCTGAGCTTCCGTTTTCTTGACTTATAAATAGGAAACATGGGCTGCCTCAAGTGCAGCAGTTAAACACAGAGGGAGCTGGATCCTCCTCCACAGCAGACAGTGGTTCAAATTTCGGCTCTGGGAGCTTGAAGAACACCCTGGGTGTGTGTGCTTGTATGCCCCAGATCCTGATGAGATGGAAAAATGGAGGAAACATGACTAGGTGTGTGTGACCACACCCCGAGTGGGGTGCTTTCTCACTGCAGTGAGTGCTCATGTCTTAGGGAGATAAAAAGGAAACATGGGGCCAGGAGGTGGTGTGGTCGTTAAGGCAATAGATTTCCATATGGCTAACTGCAGTTCGAGTCCCTGGCCTGGCTTTCTCACTTTCCCTCTCCCTGTTCAAACTTTTAAAAATTGTAATAATAAGCTAAATGAGGAAGTATGAAAAAAACACAGTCTGCCCTTGACTGTCACCCCCATAACTGCCATTCCTGGTGCTCACTTCAGTCCTCCACTCCCTGGTTTTAGCTCTGGCCTGAGGACTTCCGAAAGCGCCAGTAGCAAGGAGCAGGATAACCAGAGTCATGAACAGACAAGAACTGCTGGGCAACTGAAATTCACAAGGTTCCATGAAAAAGCTACCGTTAGTGGTCATTATAAAGGCTTTAAGCATGGTATTCTGGCTGGAGGAACTTACTATTAGTACCTCATTAGAAAAAGGAAAAAAAAAAGTATCAAGCCACATATGTTCCTGGAAGGAGTAACCTGTGCGTTGAAAAACGAAAGATTTCGAGGTGCCCCGGAGGGCAAGGCGCGCGGAGAAAACAGTGGCGAGGCTGTGGGGCCCCGGGTAGGCTGAGTACACCCGAATGTGGGCTGCACGAAGCTTCAAACAGCTTCGCTGGAGACCGCGAGAAGGGACGGTGAGACCAGCAGTGTCCGATGCGACCTGCCAAGCGATGGGGCACAGGAAGGCGAAGATGCGGGCCCCATGAGGCCGAGGAATGGCAGTCTCTCGGGACAGTTCCGTAACCTCCTCTGGGCACCAGGGCCCCCACGCCAGGAGCACGCGGGCCAACCCAGCCGTCGGACACGCTTCCTGGGGCCTTTTAAAGGCACGCACGGCCAATGAGAGTAGACAGAGGTCCACAAGCCCGTCCTCCACGCGCAAGCCTGCCGCTCCAGACTACAACTCCCAGGCGCCCGGTGCCCACGGCCCGCGCTTCCGCATGCGTCGTATGCGCTGCGTCCCGGATACAGCCCGCTGCTCCCGCCCCCGCCCCCTTCCGGGCGGCGCGACATCTTACTTGCTCCGCCCTGTCGGGACTGGTGTTGAGAAGGTTATTGAGTTCCGGAAACATTCTGAGCCCCGAGACCTGCGCCCTGGTTGAGAGGTTGGAGCGCCGCGGAGCCCACCGGACTGGAGAGCTTACGCACCCGCGAACACCGCTTAGTGGCGCGAAGGTCTGCGCGTGCGCAGCGCCGCCTGGGAGCCCGCCGCAGCCAATCCGCGGGCGTCTCGGTGGGGCCGCTGCCGGCGCATGCGCGCGTGCGTGTGTTGCGTCTCGGGCTCCGGGCAGCGATTGGCTGTGCAGCTGCCGTCCCAAACCGGCTCGATCCTTCTAAGTAGG